CGCTCGCCGCAGCCTTGTCGTGCTGGTAGCGGAATAGAGTAGGGCGGTAAGAACAAGCGCACCCCAAAGTTCGAATCTCTTGGGTCCCCGCAGCCCCAATTCCGACAGTCTTATGTCTAGCTAATACTTTAGATTAGGTTGTTTAGTCCTCACAAGTGTGGCGCTAAGGAGGAGGATGACCCTTCTTTTTCAAGTTTGACTTCAGTGCTTCGATCCTCTTCGAGTTCGTCTGTCTAGACTTAGTCAATGAAGCTCCGGAGTAGATTCTACTGGAATTTAGTCTATTTTTGGGCCAAGCCAATTGCATTTTTAGAATTCCTAATAAATCCTAGAGACCTACTTAGCCAATTAATGCAAGGCAAGAGGTGGACTAAAATTTAGTCGCATACTGCTCATCTAGTAGGAGTTAGACCTCCTTATAAGGGAGGTTATTTCCCCACATGTATGAGGATGAGAACAAGAGAGACACTCACGCACGCTCCTCTTCCGCCGCCCGTCTCGCCATGCCTCGTCACGACGCGCCGCGAGTTGCAGGAATTGGCTGAGCCATTGTCTAAATTTTTGCCACGACTGGTATACGAAAGGTCACACGGGACCTCAAAAGTTTTGTTGTAGTGGAGATTGAATACGAACGCTGCACCCTTCGGTTGCTACCTATTTGCTTCGTCTCCCTCTTTTGCTATGCCTCCTGTCATTGCCTCCTTCTCCTGTGCCTGTAACAGAGAGGTCGCTCCTCTCTAGAGAGACACGTCAAAACATCATCTTCCTCTCACCACCGAGTTACAAACTCTAAGTTGCTAGGTTCTTCCCCATCCCGGCTTGCGGCGTGCACCACTGGTGGGGACAGTAGGTCTCTGAAACCCCGCCACTTCAAGTCCTGTACAGGAGAAGGGTGATAAAGTTTTTGGGGAGCACTCTGCGCGACTACTGACTTCTTCACCACGGAAGCCACGAACGCCGACGACCGGTTCCAAACGACGACTTCTTCCCCGACGTCGACAACTTCTTCGATGACATGGACAGCAACGACGCCAACGCTAACCCCAATGCTACAGCCGCAGCTCAGTACGTCTTCGTGTTCTTTCTGTTTGACATCCTGCAGCGGTTTCTTGTTCTAGTTTCTGTTCTACATATGTTATGTTCATATTCACTACTTCAGATGCTATTTGCATACTCTTTGTCGGATTGCATGACTTGTCTTATCTCTGCTATGCTAGTCATGTTTTATCTACTATTTCTGTTAATAAAATCATATGGTAAATTGCTCATATTTCCAACAGATTCATCTCAAGCGGTGAGGTTAGAATTTCTCATCATGTGACAAGATTTCGTGTGAGCTGGTTCAGATCAATTCAAGGGTTCAACAATAATGATTGCGGCTCTAGGACACTAGTCTTTAGAGGCACGTGCACCAAGACTTCCCGACTATCATCTACAAGGTCAAGCCGGCTCCGATAGGAGTGACGACAAGAGCGTGTCGGCGGCTCATTTTGGTGACCCTAATGGTTGTTCGGTGGTCTCGAAATCTTAATTTAATTTTTATTATGTTTGAGATGTTTTGTACTTGAATAATAGATCTGGATCCTTTACGCAAAAAAGACAGAAATATTTTTTATATTTCTATGCATATAGAAGCACTTTTTACTGAAAAATGGCACTTTTTAGTTTTATGAAGTACTAGTACTTAACCATTATCGGTAAACTCAATTACAAAACGGCAGTCTCCGGCCCAGGGGATCTCTTTGGGTCGAGACACATATTTGGTGCAAACAGAGTAAATGTTCTGCATGAGTTGTACACTAAATTACTAACACACCAAAGTACCGAGCTTCATTAGATCATTTCTCTTTTTCACGGGGAAGCTACATGAGCTATGTAAGAGTAAAATGTTCTGCGTGATTTGTACATTTATAGATGAAAGTTTGCTTCATGTAAGCATCCACCAACATAGCCTCTTGCGCCTTAGATGTTCCTTTTTGAAAAGAAAAACGGATTCAAGTCGCCTTCGTCACATCGTTACATAGCATGGCCACGCATCAGAATCGGTGAGAGCTTAATAGAACAAAGTACCTGATCATGAAGGCAACCAGCCACCTGTGCTTCGGCCTTCAGGGTTAACACTTGTGTTCTACTGATGGCAGAAAATATTTCATCCCCCGTGTAACCATGTTGCTTCCTCCTCATACTTATGCAGGGGAGCAATTATACACCTAGTGCTTGCGCTGCAGCCTGCAGAGATGTACACATGACAGGTACTCTACGTGGCCCAATCGAGCCCTTGATGAAACTGAACCAAATCAGTTGTTATAGAACTTACTAGCAATTTGCAAAGAGAAACACCAAAAATTACGCAAAGCTGATGCGCATGATTCTGATGGAGCTGTACTGTGCTCTCAACCACCGAATGATACAGGGGAGGCAGGACAGGCCTTCTATGATTGCTTACACATTTGTCTGCTTGTGTGGTACTGGACGGCTAGAATTAGAAGAGGGTTCACTAGTTGTGCATTGCATATACGAACAACGACAACACTACAGTACTGGAACCATTATTGATCATAGTGGGGCCGATTAAAAAGGGGGAAATATCTTGGGAACACTGATTGTCTCGGCATGACGAAAGATATGTTAGTTTTTTCACGTACCGTTAGAGGCTGGTTACATATTTCAGGCCATCATGAAACAAGCAGTTTGGAGAAATTACGATGATCAAAAAGTTGAACTTTGCTTTTTACCAACTCAAGGACTCTTGAGTGATGGAAGTTGAGCAACTATCTAATAAAACAGTTCAGGCTATCTATATTCTGAAGCAGAACGACCATTGTGGTGCCTTTCGTTTCCTTTACCCGAATTAACTATTTTCAGAGACGACGCTCATGTTGTTGAACTAGGAGCTTCTAAACTGTCTTAACCATGTGTTATCTTGTTATTATGTAACCATCAACAAGGAGCAGAGATGCTTAGCAAATATAATAAGAGAAAATGAGCATACTTGTTTCTACACACAGTCCTTCTCACTGGCCGTAGCAGGTGTTGTCTTTCATGTAAGCCACATGATTCAGTGGTTTTACAACGCCCATGGGTGCCCGTAGCTGTCAATCACGTGAGCCTTCTCTGATCTGTATCTGGAAAACAATGGAAAAGAAGTATGGAATGGTCCAAATGGATTAGCATATGCCTTTCAATGCAGAAAATGATGTTTAACAAAAGTTGGCATAAAGTTGATTCAGAAAGGAAAATTTAATGTCAGCTGCAAATCATCAATGAAGTACTCACTCTGAATGTGATTGAGACATGTAAATTGGCCTCTCCATTTTGATTTTGCCCCCAACATAAGGTACGTTGTACTCCTTAAGACTTGTATTGAAGCACCCAATAAGATCAGCCACCAGATTACTATTAAAAAATATATTCATAAAAGTATACGAAGGGCTACCATGTCTTTAAAAAAAACATTTGCATTAAGATGGATGAAGGCTCATATTCATTCAATATGCCATGTACTCCCCACCGTTCGTTAGGAGTGCCCGGGTACCGTTAAAAACCTATTAAACGACTGAAAAAATGCACAGCAGATGCCATGTCAGCTTTTGATTAAGTTAATTGAGACACGTCAGCAACTATGATTTAAAAAGTGATTGATGTTGAGCAAATATAGGATACAAGATACTCTTACTTCGTTATTCCGAATCAGAAACCCACTAGGATGCTGATAGGCGTGTATAGTTTAAGAAATTGCTCGGACATGTGGCTCATCACAGGCGAAGACCCACCACCATTTTGGTTGTTGAACACTCTGAATCATTATGTGGCTCTCAGTGTTCATGCTGTGCTGGTACTTGTAATCTTCCCATATAATTGAGTAAAGAAGTGGCTAATCTACAGCAAGAGTATCAGTAGTTTAGTTCTAGTCTAGCAACCATGCATGTGTCCAGATTACTACCAGGTCTTGGAAGAAAATAGTAAACAAGTAATAGCAAGTATAAAATTCATGAACGGACACTGTTGTTTTGTCTGAAGTAACATGTTGCTGTTTTGACGAGTTGTCGATATCAGCAAAGGACCACTGTCATTTGGCAACAAGTTGAAGAGAACAAAGAATGGTTCGGCTTGAATGGCCGCAAGTGTATGGTTTACTGGACAATAACACTAATGGACAGCGCGGCCATCATGGAAAGATTGCAGAGAGGTTATGGATTCACCTTTCACGGATGAGAACAAAAAGAGCAGTATATCGATAGCTGCAAGGTAGCTAATGTCCAAAGACAAAAATCTCTGGCACATATCCCATGGTGCTATGGTATGCTGCTTGTGATTCCCCTCTAGACAGGGCACACATGTTAGTATCAACTCGTATCATTTTCTCGCCCTTTTCCCCTTTTTGTCAGAAACATGTGCCCTCCAAAAGGGGAAGATGATTGTTCAACTTTGCACTCAATTTTCCTCACAAGGGCATCTCCCTGCCATAGATTTTTAAGAGATCATGTGAGAAGATCCCAACATTGGTGGCCATTTTGACATTCCACAGTTTCACCTGAGGAAGATATTTATCAAACTACCTTGAGTGCTAGGAAAGGACATGTGATTCCAAGATTGAAACTCCATGCCAACAAGATCCATAGTTAAGCATGCCCCATGACTACATGTTATGATAAGACAATCATTCACATATCAGGGGACTACGGAAAGATGCCATATTGATGCTTCTTAACCAGTCTCATCTCAATATTATGAGATGAATTATGTGTAGATGTTTCAATACCAAATCAACCTCAAAATTAACTTCGCTATAGAAAACAGTCTATAAAAATTTAATTAGCAACAAGCAATATTTTTTCTAATGTGCAGAATACACAACACTTGGAACTCAATGTCGATACATCGGTGATCCACCACTAACACTGTTTAGTCCTGAACTGAACTACTAAACAATGAGAAAAACAAAGTGAAGATACTTTTAAATCAAGCCCTGCTGCTTTTCACCCACATTCTCTAAAATTTCACGCAACATTCAGCGTTGGAGGAAGGCCATCCTCGGGCAGGCCATCCACAAGACCTCGAAGGCCGGGCTTGAGCTCACTGCCGCAGAATTGACGGTATTCAGCGGTATCTCCGGCTTTCTTGCATACCTGAACCATGACGAGCTCCGGCGTGAGCTGGAATATCTTGGTGGATATGGCCAGCGCGCCCTTGTGGCCATTCCTCGTCGCCTCGAAGCTCACCTGGCAATCCTTGGTGCGCGCCGTGAAGCTAACTTGCCCGGCGATCTCCTCCAGCTTCTTGATGATGGTGTTCACTGGCGCGCTGGACACGAAACGCAACTGCTCGCCGCGCTCCTCGAACAGCCCGGACAGATCGAAGCTTGGCGAGGAGGCGATAATGTCGAACGCGTTCATACTCTTGATCCGTCTTATACGCGGCTCAGGGGCACAGGCTGCAGCAATGTGCATCTTCTCCAGATTTACAAGCGACGGTGCTGAAACCGAGGTGTGCATGCCGCCGCCATCGCCATGAGCCACCGGAGAGGAAGAGCCGGAGGATGATGAAGACATGGCAGTCTCGTCCTCGGAGTCAGAGTCACAGAGATCAGGCTCTTCGGAGCCATCAAGGCTGCGCAGGCAGTCCTTGTTGTCGATATAGAAACTTATTTCCTTGAAGCCCTTCTTGAACCAATCTGTTTCCTTGATTTGCAGTAGTGTGATCCGGTGCGCTGGGTTTGGTTGGAGGAGGCGGCGTACTATGCGTACCAGTTCGGGGCTGAAGGTGCGTGGGCAGCGGTAGTCACCGCGGCAGATTGTCCTGTATAGCGTGATGAAGTCGTCGTCGCGGAAGGGCTTGCGGCCGGCGGCGAGCACGAAGAGGACGATGCCGCAGGACCAGGCGTCCGCCTTGGCACCATCGTAGCCCCGGCGAGCGAACACCTCCGGAGGGACGTACAGGGGCGTGCCGCAGACGGTGTGGAGGAGCGCCTCCCGGCGAGCCGTGTCGGCGTGGGCGGACAGCCCGAAGTCGGCGACCTTGAGATTGCCGTGCTCGTCGACGAGGAGGTTGTCGGGCTTGATGTCGCGATGGTACACGCCCTGCGCGTGGCAGAAGGTGAGTGCCGAGACGAGCTGCTGGAAGATGCGGCGCGTCTCGTCCTCCTTGAGGCCGCCGTTGGCGGGGATGTGGCGGTAGAGCGGGCCACCGCGGACGTACTCCATGACGACGAAGATACGGGACTTGCACGCCATCACCTTGTGCAGCTGCACGATGTTGGGGTGCCGCAGCCGGCGCATCACGGCGATCTCGCGCTTGATCTGTTGAACGGCGCCCAACTTGATGAGCTTCTCCTTGTCCATCACCTTGATTGCCACCTCCTCCTTCGTATCCATGTGCCGCGCCAGGTAGACCTTGGCGAAATTACCCTCGCCGAGCAGCTTCACCTGCTCGTAGCGGGCAGGGAGCTTTGGCCGATCCCCCATGGCGCCGTCGCCGCTTCTTGGGCGGGCGTTCGAAGTTTTCTGTCCTGGAGTATTTGGGTGGAGGCGAGTAGAGGATTGGGGGATCCGCCGAACTAAATAGGAAGTCTTTAGGGCTGACCGGTTTACTGGGGAAAAAATCAGTCCAAGCCTCAGTACACCTCCCACGCAGGCCCCTGTGCGGGATTTCTTAGATCGCTCTCTTGCACGAATCTCGAGGAAACTGGCATATTCTATTCCACCTTAGGGAATTCCATGAGGCTACACGAGAGTTGTTTGTGTATGCAGGGCGCTGATAAGAATTTGAGTGTGTTTGCCCCTAGGTTTGTTTTGATTCTTTGCACCGCTCCAAACTACCTACAATTCTAAGATAATCTAATATAACCGGGACGACTGTATACAACAAGCTAAAATTGAACGAGAAGAAACACATTGCTTGGAGATGACGAGGTCCTCTTGCACGAACAAATCATGAAAGAATGGAGAATGCCGGCTCAGGAGAAGAAAAGACCGACGTCGATGAAAAGGTACACCATCACCAAATTATGGGCCCTATGCAACACAACCATCCAGATCCATTGTCGAAGAAGGCCACTGCCTCCTCGCCTGGCTCGAAAGGCGATGCACCGTCATAGATGGACATGTTCACCCTAGAATCTGGACGAGTGTCGCCGAAAGGCAGCCATAGGAGAGGAACAAGGCACATTTGACATGTCATCGACTACTCCACCTAAAGCAGATTACCGCTGATGCCAATGGACCGGGCACTCGAAAGAGAAAGTTGTCGGATTGGACGAAGAAGGATAATAGCTTGGGTCCACGGAAAGCATTAAGATCTAAAGGGGTAGTGTTGATACGTCTCCAATATATCTATAATTTTTTATTATTCAATGCTATTATAGCATCAATCTTGGATATTTTATATACATTTTCAAGCAATTATGTATCATTTCTTGAGACTAACCTATTAACTTAGTGCCCAGTGCCAGTTGTTGTTCTTTGCTTGTTTTTGGTTTTTTAGAATATCAGTACCAAACGAAATCCAAATGCCACGAAACTTTTTAGAGATTTTTTTTTGACAATAAGAGACTGAGGGAGTCCTGGATTAGGGGGTGTTCGGGTAGCCGGACTATACCTTCAGCCGGACTCCTGGACTATGAAGATACAAGATTGAAGACTTCGTCCCGTGTCCGGATGGGACTTTCCTTGGCGTGGAAGGCAAGCTTGGCGATGCGGATATTCAAGATCTCCTACCATTGTAACCGACTCTATGTAACCCTAACCCTATCTGGTGTCTATATAAACCGGAGGGTTGTAGTCCGTAGGCAATCAACTCCATATACAACAATCATACCGTAGGCTAGCTTCTAGGGTTTAGCCTCCTTGATCTCGTGGTAGATCTACTCTTGTACTACCCATATCATCAGTATTGATCAAGCAGGACGTAGGGTTTTACCTCCATCAAGAGGGCCCGAACCTGGGTAAAACATCGTGTTTCCTGCCTCCTGTTACCATCCGGCCTAGACGCACAGTTCGGGACCCCCTACCCGAGATCCGCCAGTTTTGACACCGATATTGGTGCTTTCATTGAGAGTTCCTCTGTGTCGTCGCCTTTAGGCCCGATGGCTCCTTTGATCATCAACAACGATGCGGTCCAGGGTGAGACTTTGCTCCCCGGACAGATCTTCGTCTTCAGCGGCTTCGCTCTGCGGGCCAATTCGCTCGGCCACCTGGAGCAGATCGAAAGCTACGCCCCTGGCCATCAAGTCAGGTTTGGAAGCTTAAACTACACGGCTGACATCCGCGGAGACTTGATCTTCGACGGACTCGAGCCACGGCCAAGCGCGCCGCACTATCTCGAGAGGCATGATCTAGCTCTGCCCCCGGACAGTGTCCTGGAGGCCGCACACGCATCGGTTCCGACCCCTAACTCGGAGCCTATTGCGCCAATCGAGGATGAGCGGTTGGACGTCACCTCGGGGGCTGCGATCCCGAAAGCGATCGAGCCGAACGCTAGCCCCGCACTCTGCACGACCCGTGACTCCGAGGATCTGGACTCCGAACCCCCCGCGCCCCTGCCAATCGAATCCGATTGGGCGCCGATAATGGAGTTCACCGCCGCAGACATCTTTCAGCGTTCGCCTTTTGGCAACATCCTGAATTCTCTTAAGTCTCTCTCTTTATCAGGAGAGCCCTGGCCGGACTACGGTCAGCGAGGGTGGGATACGGGCGATGAGGAAATTCAAAGCCCACCCACCACCCACTTTGTAGCCACTGTCGACGATCTAACCGACATGCTTGACTTCAGCTCCGAAGACATCGACGGCATGAACGACGATGTAGGAGACGAACAGGAACTAGCACCTGTAGGGCGCTGGAAGGCCACCTTGTCATATGACATATATATGGTGGATACTCCAAAAGATGGAGATGGCGATGGAACAGTGAGGGATGACGCCCCCAAGAAACATCCAAAGCGCCGGCGTCAGCAGCGCCGCTCTAAATCCCGCCAAAGCAAAAACGGTGATTCCGGTACGGGAGATAATACTACCCCGGATAGCGCCGAAGAACACCCACCTCGGCAATATTCGGCACAGGAAGATGGAGAAGCCAGCCCTCATGAGAGAGCGGCAGACCGAGAGGTCGAGGATGATAACTATACGCCTCCCTCCGAAGACGAGGCAAGCCTCGATGACGACGAATTCGTCATACCATCAGACCCCGCCGAACAAGAGCGTTTTAAACGCAGGCTTTTAGCCACGGCAAGCAGCCTCAAGAAAAAGCAGCAACAGCTTAGAGCTGCCCAAGATTTGCTAGCTGACAGATGGACTGAAGTCCTTGCGGCCGAAGAGTATGAACTCGAACGCCCCTCCAAGAGTTACCCGAAGCGCAGGCCGCTACCCCGATCAGAGGAGGAAGCACCTACATCACCAGCGCATGACATGGCAGACCGGCCACCTCACGGCCGCGACAGAGAGGCCTCTCGGCCCTCCACCCAAGCCATGCCCCGACGCCGCTCAACTAAGGCACGAGAAAATGCGCCTGACCTGCGAGACATACTAGAGGATAAGTCAAGACAAACAAGATCGATCTACGGATCGCGCAGGCGCCCTACGGCATGTGACAATGATCTTCACTCCGGATACAACAAATCCGGCCGGGCCGAACACAACAGACATAGCTCTTCTGAGCTGCGTCGTGATATAGCCCAGTACAGAGGCGCCGCACACCCGCTATGCTTCACGGATGAAGTAATGGATCATAAAATCCCAGAGGGTTTCAAACCCGTAAACATCAAATCATACGATGGCACAACAGATCCGGCGGTATGGATCGAGGATTATCTCCTTCACATCCACATGGCACGCGGCGATGATCTACACGCCATCAAATACCTCCCGCTCAAACTTAAAGGACCGGCCCGGCATTGGCTTAACAGCTTGCCAGCAGACTCAATCGGTTCTTGGGAGGACCTGGAAGCCGCATTCATCGACAACTTCCAGGGCACTTATGTGCGACCGCCGGATGCCGACGACTTAAGCCACATAATTCAGCAGCCAGAGGAATCGGCCAGACAATTCTGGACACGGTTCCTAACAAAGAAAAACCAGATAGTCGACTGTCCGGATGCAGAGGCCCTAGCGGCCTTCAAGCATAACATCCACGACGAGTGGCTTGCCCGGCACCTGGGACAGGAAAAGCCGAAATCCATGGCAGCCCTCACGACACTCATGACCCGCTTTTGCGCGGGAGAAGACAGCTGGCTAGCTCGCAGTAACAACTAATCAAAGAACCCTGGTAATTCGGATACCAAGGACAAAAGTGGCAGGACATGTCGGAATAAGCAAAAACGCCGCATTAACAGCGACAGCAATGAAGACACGGCAGTCAATGCCGGATTCAAAGGCTATAAATCCGGTCAGCGGAAAAAGCCATTCAAAAAGAATACTCAGGGCCCGTCCAGTTTGGACCGAATACTCGATCGCTTGTGCCAGATACATGGCACCCCCGAAAGGCCAGCCAATCACACTAACAGGGATTGTTGGGTGTTCAAGCAGGCAGGCAAGTTAAGGGCCGAAAATAGAGACAAGGGGCTGCACAGCGACGACGAGGAGCCCAAGCCGCCAAACAACAATGGACAGAAGGGCTTTCCCCCACAAGTGCGGACGGTGAACATGATATACGCAACCCACATTCCCAAGCGGGAGCGGAAGCGTGCGCTACGAGACGTATACGCGATGGAGCCAGTCGCCCCAAAGTTCAACCCATGGTCCTCCTGCCCGATCACTTTTGATCAAAGGGACCATCCCACTAGCATCCGTCATGGCGGCTTCGCCGCATTGGTTCTCGACCCAAACATCGACGGATTTCATCTCACAAGATTCCTCATGGACGGCGGCAGTAGCCTGAACCTGCTTTATCAGGATACAGTGCGGAAAATGGGCATAGATCCCTCAAGGATTAAGCCCACAAGAACGACCTTTAAAGGAGTTATACCAGGTGTAGAAGCCAACTGTACAGGCTCAGTAACACTTGACGTGGTCTTCGGATCCCCGGACAATTTCGGAAGTGAAGAGTTAATCTTCGATATAGTCCCGTTTCACAGTGGCTATCACGCCCTGCTCGGACGAACCGCATTCGCAAAGTTCAATGCGGTGCCGCACTACGCATATCTCAAGCTCAAGATGCCAGGCCCTCGAGGAGTAATTACGGTCAACGGAAACACCAAACGCTCCCTCCGTACGGAGGAGCATACGGCGGCTCTCGCAACGGAGGTACAAAGTAGCCTTCTCAGGCAATTCTCCAGTCCGGCCATTAAAAAGCCAGACACTGCCAAGCGCGCCCGGAGTAACCCACAGCAGGACCGCCTGGCACACTCTGAGCAAGCGTAACAATGCGGCCCCAAGCCCAGCTTTCGCGACATAGCGAAACTAGTACCTCACGTACATAACTACGCCCTTGAAATACCATGGGCACAGGGGAAGGGGCACAATAACGGCACG